CTAAGAACACCATCTCGTTTCGTTCCGTTTCGTTCCAAGGAGGAAGTGTCACACTGTTGGGAACAGAAGCAGAATCATCAGAATCAGAAGAAAAAGAAGAAGAAGAAGATAATGGTTGGAGGTTCCTTGGGAGGGTTGCAAGAGCACCTCAAGTTAGCCAGAGACTACGCTGTGGAAGGGCTCTACGACACTTCCATCATCTTCTTCGACGGCGCCCTTGCTCAGATCAACAAGTACTCTTCTCTCTCTTCTCAATTTCCTGTAATTTCTGTCACTTTCACTGATTCGTTCCTTTTCACGATTCTTTCAGACACCTGAGCACCGTCGAGGACCCTTTGATTCGCGCAAAATGGATGAATGTGAAGAAAGCGCTTTCGGAAGAAACCGAAGTTGTGAAACAGTTGGATGCCGAGAGAAGGGCTTTCAAAGAAAACCCAATTGGAAGACGCGCCGTTTCGCCTCCCATTTCTGCCAAGTCCTCGTCTTTTGTTTTTCAGCCGTTGGATGAGTACCCCACTTCATCGAGCGGTCCTGCTCCTTTTGATGATCCTGATGTATGGCGGCCACCCAGTAGGGATACCAGTAGGAGACCCGCCAGGGCTGGTCAAATGGGTACCCGCAAATCTCCCCAAGATGGGGCCTGGGCGCGAGGTTCTACTGCTAGAAGTGGTGCAACTGGGCGTGGTGGTGCTAAAGGTGGTGCTACTAGTAGGGTTAACTCGGGGACACGAGCGCCCGCTGCTGGAAAGAAGGGCAATGTTTCTGGAAAGTCAACCAATACCAAGACGGATACTGCAGCTGTTACTGTAAGTTTCAACTTTGATGAGGCAGTTTGTTGGATAACATTCACTGTATGCTGTTGGTTGGAGAAGTCGTTTCTAAGGATAGTTTTTTACTTTGGTTGGTGGACTCAACCATATTTTGTTGGTTTATTTGCTTAATCTTATGACACCTTAATTATTGAATAGGTTGTTCTTAGCATTGATAGGGTGTCTTTGGATGAGTGGTTGCAACTTTGACATTGAATGAACTTGATTTTTGTGAAATCGATTCTGGTTTAAATTGATTGTGTAGTGACATACTTTGTGTTTGGATTATATTTAATTTTTCTGTAATCTGGAATTGATTGTAAGTAAATGTGAGTTTATAGTGCAGTGTTTTTTGGTTTGGATTACACATATTAGAAATTTGGTTTCAACTTGTAATGCTGTTTTGGAAACTTGCTCTCGAAGTCGATTTTGGATATGTTGTTACCAAATTGACTTGAGTCTAAGCTATATAAGTGGAAGAAATAACATGACTAGAGTTAGAGCATCTCTCCAGTGGAAGATGCTTAGGGGTTGTTTTGGGTTACTTAAAACAATTCTTCCATTGTAGTGGTCTCACATCACATGGCATTCTAAAGTTACTTGATAAATTTTCTTTTTGCTTCTCTAACCAACTCCAAGCAACTCAACCTTAATAATACAAATTATTTTAATCAATATTATTTTCAGTAGTGAAGTATAAATTAAAAAAATATAAAATAGTGAGTTTTGTATCCAGGTGTTAATTTTGTATTAGATCCACGGCAAAGTGTTTCTTCTTCTTCATGTTTTGTGGTTTCTCGGATTATCAATTTGGCCTTTGCATATTGCATCCCTAAGTCTGGACAGTTTGAAAAACGTCTAACTTCTTAGATACGTGGTTTTGTCCCTGAATTTGCTAATAGAATGGACAAAATGGTGATTCTGAAGATGGTAAGTCAAAGAAGGGTCAATATGAAGGTCCCGATCCTGAATTGGCTGCAATGCTTGAAAGGGATGTGTTAGAAACCTCTCCTGGAGTTAGATGGGATGACGTTGCAGGACTTACTGAAGCAAAAAGACTTCTAGAAGAAGCTGTTGTGCTTCCCTTGTGGATGCCTGAATATTTCCAGGTAATTTTGATTAAATTTCTATCTGAATTCTCGTAAAAGCTGGCTTACTTAATGATACAATCCAGTTACATTTAATAATCATAGTTTATTTTAAAACTAATAATTTGGAATTGTGATTTGTATGATACTCTAATTGTTATCACGGTGGTTATTTTAGACATTTTGTTTGGCATTATGATAACCTGCTTTTGCATACAACTTGATTTCCAACTAAGCCTTGTTTATGAAATTATTGTTGCAAAATAAGTTCACGCTTCTCTGGTTACATGCATATGACTCTTTGAATTTTTAATTAGAAATTTGTTTGTTTGATTAGGCCTATTCTATAAGAAATCCCATAATATCCGCACATTTGAATCTCTGCGAATTAAATGTCTTGGGGAATATTGAAGTATGGTGCTCATTATTTCAGGGAATCAGGAGGCCATGGAAAGGCGTTCTCATGTTTGGACCTCCAGGAACTGGGAAGACACTTCTTGCTAAAGCAGTTGCTACTGAATGTGGGACCACTTTCTTTAACGTATCTTCTGCAACTTTGGCTTCTAAATGGCGTGGTGAGAGTGAGCGCATGGTGCGGTGTTTGTTTGATCTTGCAAGAGCATATGCACCAAGCACAATATTTATCGATGAAATTGATTCTCTATGCAATGCAAGGGGGTGAGGCTTTCTTGTTCTTTAAGACGTCCATTTTATGTAGTAGCCTTTCAAAACTTTTATGGCTCCCCAAAATGAAGTTTCATTCAATCCATTGTTTACATTCCTTGGACACATTCGTAGGCTGTGTGGCTTCACTCTTTTTGGATTGATTATTGAGATCTGATTGAATTCACATTTACTTCGTCAGGGCATCCGGGGAGCATGAATCGTCTAGAAGGGTGAAATCTGAACTTCTTGTTCAGGTTGATGGGTAAGCAATAGTGCCACAAATGAAGATGGTAGCCGTAAAATAGTAATGGTTTTGGCCGCAACTAACTTCCCATGGGATATAGACGAGGCATTAAGGTTTGCTTTTTTTTTTCTGCATTATTTTCTTTACAATTTTAAGCTGTAAGTTAAAAATTTACGATTAGTTATGTGCATGATAAGATAAATCTCTTTTCTTGCATTCTGATTCAATTTGATGCTTTTAATGCAACACAGGAGAGGCTGGAAAAACGTATATATATTCCTCTTCCAAATTCGAGAGTCGTAAAGAGCTGATCCGGATAAATTTGAAGACTGTTGAGGCAAGTTGTGATGTTAATTTCTGTGTTGGCCATATAGGATTTTAACCTTATAATTTTTATTGTGTGGAGCTGTAATTGAGTGATGATTGGATTATTACTATTTTATTGCTGATGGTAGTCGTATTTCACTTTCACCAGGTGGCGACTGATGTGAATATAGATGAAGTGGCTCGGAGGACAGAGGGCTACAGTGGAGATGATTTGACCAATGTGGTCGTGATGCTTCCTTGAATGGTATGAGGCGAAAGATAGCAGGAAAGACTCGAGATGAAATCAAGAACATGTCAAGGATGAGATTTCAAAGGATCCTGTTGCCATGTGTGATTTTGAAGAAGCTTTGGTAAAGGTCCAACGAAGTGTTTCTCAGGCCGACATTGAACGCCACGAGAAGTGGTTTACCGAGTTTGGATCAGCATGAAGACTGGGAAAAACATCAACCACGGTAGTGTTGTTTTTCTTTTTTCCTATGAGTGGGTGGTTTGTATCTGTTGTTTGATGATGATGTTTGATTCGTTTGCTGACGAAATTCATTGTAGTTTATGGTATTGGAGGGATCTTCAATTGTTAATTTGTATCTGCGAGATCATTGAATTTTGATGTAATGTAATTTAGTCTGACATGATTCCAAAGCAGTTCTTGTGCTTTAATATACATCAGTTTGGATCAGTTTAGAATGTAATTTAGAATGTACATCAGTTTTGCATATAATGATGTTGTTGTGCGATCTGTATCAAACATTCTATGAAAATTCCTGATATAAGTCAAGAATTTTAGATGCCTTCAACCGTCTTTGTCTTTTCTTTGCGACGAGGCATTGAATTTCTCGATTATGTCGCCATGAAAACGGCAATCTCAACACGTTCTTCCTTCTTCAGTGAGAAAATCAAAGTAACAGGGACGTATCATTGTCTTACACTCAAAAAAGTATGATAATTCTAATTTCTTGGCATGAAGCTGAAAGCCATGTACTTACAAAGGGTCAGTTGAAAATTAAGTGAAAATTTCTATATAGTATACAAGGATGAATTATACTCTATTTCTTGATTAAGTGAAAATTTCTTGATTCATCATTAGAAAAATAATAGTACTTGCAAAATCTGTCTCTTAATTTAAGCATACAGGGATGAATTATAATATATATGGTATTTTTTTTTTTTTGCCTTTAAATTGACTTGCATTGTTAGTGGCAGTTTGTTTTTTTTCTTTTGGTGATAGAAATTTTTAACACCCTTATTTTTAATAAATATGAGAGTAAAGATTGAGGAAAACTTACAAGTTTATATACACACGGAATAACAAATAAAAAAAATTAAAATAAGTGAAATGGAAATATAATTAGAGATTTTTTAAAATACAATTAAATAATGTATATCTTACAGATGTATATTTCACCATTAATTAAAAAAAAAAGTCATAATCCAAAATATAAATATTTCTATATTTTTAATTTTTTTAAATATAAAATTTGTGTCGACTCTATTTTGTGATTATAGAAACTTACACTCAACTTTTGAAATAGGATACTGGTGGTCACCAATCCAGATCATTAAATTACCATAACCATGGTCATTAAATAGCTTGGGAATTGAAGAAGAAGAAGAAGAAATGGGAAAATTCAGTTGGACAAGTTTGGTCCTTGTTTCTCTATATCCCTTCTTCTTCACATGTCAAGTCTCTGCTCCTTCCCCACCGTTAATGTCCAACCTAGGAAAAGTATAATTATCCTTCTCATCTCTTCCATTTTTATCATTTATCTATTCTATTAGTTTTGATTACGAATGCTTAAAAATTAGATTTAAAGTTTACTTTTAATGTAAATATTTTTGTTAATTTGATTATTGTGTTTGTGCATATTTTCAATGTATGCGATGTAGTATACTGTGGGAGAGGAACATGCCAACTTTCTTCCAGTGATTTACTCGGGTTCAGATGCGATTGTGAAACTGGTTGGAAGAAGCCAAACATTGGTTCTTTCCAATTACCACCATGTGCTCTTCCCAATTGTGAGTCATGCATCATTCATTGTTCTTATCCATGTTCATACATAGGAACTAAATCATGCACGAAACCAATTCAAAGAAAGTGACTTTCTTACATATGCAAGGAAATTGAAATTTGTTTCCATTCATGATTCGAACAAAAGGGTATATTTGCTGAGACGAAAGATGCAGGTACCGTTGATCTAAACTGTGGCAATGGTTCTTCGTCACTGCCTTCTTCTCCACCTACAACATTTAAGGATCGTAAGCTCATATAATAATACTTTGTTGAATTCATCAGCACGTTTTGCAGAACAAATATGAAATGAGACTTTGCACGTTTTGATGTTCTGTTTTCTATGCAGCTTGTTTGTTGAATTTGTGTGGGGATGGAACTTGTGAGAGTAATGGCTCTGATTTTAGGTGTCGATGCAATGAAGGCTCTGCCAATCTACTCGACGATCCAAAACTCATTTGCATTAAGAGATGTAAATTGCTTTTTTCTTCATCTTATTTTGCTTTGTTCTTCCATCTATTGTTTTTTCATACTTAGTTTTAACATTTTAAAAAGTAGGCCACTTTGTTCTGTTTCTACAACCTATCTATCTTCATTTGATTTGATTTGGGTTCATAAAGGGTCAATTTTTATTTCAATTCATCACATGATAATTGATAATTTGCTTCTTTAATTCAATTTATTAACACCAACTAAACCTTTTCCATCCAAAAGTTTAAAACAATAGATTTATTGTAAATTTTTGTAAGATTAAATATATTTCTAGTTATTAAATGAAATATATTCCTTCATTTAATCTTGCAAAATTAGAAATATTTTTGTAAATTAGAAATTTTTTATCTTGAAATTTTAAAATGAAGGAATATAGTTGTCTTAGCCCAACTTGTTAATATCTTTTTATAACATTTTAAACTGATATCTGAAATGAAATGTATGAAAGAGTGTAATTAGCTACTAACATGAAATATGTGAAACAATAATATAACTAGTTAATGTTTCAGTCTAAAATGTAATTATATGTAAGAAAAAAATTAATATAATTAGATTAAGAAGACAGTATTTATTTAAATTTAAAATTTGAGATCAAATTATATTTTAAAACTATGATGAAATTTTAATTTTATTTTGAAATTTAAAAACTAAAAATATATTTATTCTTATAAGTTATTCAATATGAAAATTAGAGTGATGTATTAATTCTAAACAATTTTTATTAACCAAAATAATTGTTCAAAAATATTTTAATCAAACTAAATTAAATATATATGATGCAGGCACTTTGGGAGGGGATTGTGGGGGATTTAATCTAGGGTTTGACTCGTCACCTAACGAAACTCAGCCACCACCGGAAAAATCAGGAACCAGTGGCTCTCCTCCGACTTCTCCGACTGCAGGTACTTTCAGTATATATATTTTCTTTTAGGTTTAATGTCTCAACATGTCCCTATTTTTGTTCAAAATTTTAAATAGGTTCCTTTATTTTTGGCGTCTCAATTGGGTCTTTTTTTGTTAATTTGATGCAAATAAATTCTTTCCGTCAATTTCATCAAACGGTGTTAATGAATGTGTGACGTGGTTGAGGACAATATTGACACGTGTAAGGCCACGTTACACATTCATTAACGCCATTTGATGAAATTGACGGAAAGAATTTATTTGTATCAAATTAACAAAAATAGGACCCAATTGAGACAACAAAAAATAAAGGGATCTATTTCAAATTCTGAACAAAAATAGGGACCTATTGAGACATTAAACCTTCTTTATTGTGAAAAAAATTATAATTTACAATTAATTTTATTTTTTTAATAAATTATAATAATGAAATTGGTTGACTGAGTAAAAAGAATGCAGAAGTTATGTTCTTTATTTTGTGTGCATGCAGTGTCAGGTGAAACGCTGCGTTCCATAAGGGGGCTTCATGTGCTGGCTACGTTGTTATTAGCATTAATATTTGAAGCATGGATTTAAAAGGGAAGATGAAAGTGCAGAAATGCAGAAAATAAACCTTTCTAAATAAAAGAGTCTTTTTATTTATTTCTGTAATTGGTTACTTAATTAGAAATTAGTAACAGTGTTAAAGTTGTTACATGTTGTTTTTTATTTTAGAAATAGTAATTAGAGATTAGTGACAGTGTTATCGTAATTAGAAATTAGTAACAGTGTTAAATGACATCTATGATTCTCTTGATTTATATATACATTCATGTTTTTAATAAAATAACATTTATATCTGTAGATTTTATAGATTACTCACCTTTTATGCTTTTAATATAACAATATTAATTCTTCTCATGTTCTAACAAATGTTACTAATTAACTTCATTTATCTTATTTAAAGCCAGCAAACAGGTCCTTTTTAAGATATTGTTAGATATTTGTAAAATTATTTAAAAGTTCTTTAATTTTTATATTTTAAAATTGTAATTTTAAGTTTCAAATTTTTTATTTAAGATTTAATTGATATTTTTTAATTTATAAATAAAATAGGAGGATAGGTATTACGTTATTTATGTATAAAGGGGATTTCCCCTGGTGTCCACAATATTTTCAATTTTATCCTTCAAATAATTTTTTAAAATTAAAATAATTATTTTATTAATTTTACCTTTTAAGTAATCATTTCTTTAAAATCATTTTCATTTGATATTGTTTTAAATGTAACCATTTTTAATTATAAAACTCCTAGAAAATAAATAAAAATTATTTGCAATAAAATTATAAAAACTATTTATATTTAATTTTACAATTATAATAATAATAATTTTATTATCATAAAATAATAATACATATGCTGCAACATATATTTTCACTAGTTAAACATAAATAAGGTAAGTACGTTTTATGGAAAATTTAAGAGAAAAAGTGTATTTTAAAAACTAGAGAAGTGTATAGATGTTTTTTAAAAAAATAAAGAAAAATACGTTTTTAGTATTTTATTTTAAAGCATATACATGGCATATTTAATATAATATATGGTAATTCAAGTATTATTTTTATTTTATTCTCTTATCTATTTTTTTATATAAAAAAAATCGAGTGTCATTACATGGTAACTTGTGATTTTCAATAATTAACTTGGAATATTAATATATTGCAGGATATATAATATTTTTTCATTTTGAGGTTGAAATTATTTTTGATATTTAAGTCAAATATCTAGTAATAAATAATCATCTAAAGTATATCATGTATTAAAATAATGATATAAATTGAAGATATTAAGTTGTATGCATTGGTGTTTTACTATTGTCGTGGTGTTTCCCATTTTTAAGAAGTTGAATGAAACAAGAGAAAAGTTGTCCGAAAGCATGTTCTGTGTTGAAAATTTAGTGACGTGGCATATCCTGAAAAACCTAAAAAATTTGTACAAGTTGGTGAAGTGGATTATCTAGCAAGCATTATCGTAACATGTTTTTTCCTTTGAAATGGGAGGGCCGACGCCACTTGCTCTTATCAAATTCATGCATTCTAATCTTTCACTTTTTCTCAATGCTAAACAAAATGAGTTATATAATGTTGTCATGCACTTATGAATATTTCTTCTTATGTATTGCAGACACACTGTAAGTGTTAGAATAAGAAAAAGTTATTCACAATTTTTTCAATGGCCTCACTGTACANAGTGAAGTATAAATTAAAAAAATATAAAATAGTGAGTTTTGTATCCAGGTGTTAATTTTGTATTAGATCCACGGCAAAGTGTTTCTTCTTCTTCATGTTTTGTGGTTTCTAGGATTATCAATTTGGCCTTTGCATATTGCATCCCTAAGTCTGGACAGTTTGAAAAACGTCTAACTTCTTAGATACGTGGTTTAGTCCCTGAATTTGCTAATAGAATGGACAAAATGGTGATTCTGAAGATGGTAAGTCAAAGAAGGGTCAATATGAAGGTCCCGATCCTGAATTGGCTGCAATGCTTGAAAGGGATGTGTTAGAAACCTCTCCTGGAGTTAGATGGGATGACGTTGCAGGACTTACTGAAGCAAAAAGACTTCTAGAAGAAGCTGTTGTGCTTCCCTTGTGGATGCCTGAATATTTCCAGGTAATTTTGATTAAATTTCTATCTGAATTCTCGTAAAAGCTGGCTTACTTAATGATACAATCCAGTTACATTTAATAATCATAGTTTATTTTAAAACTAATAATTTGGAATTGTGATTTGTATGATACTCTAATTGTTATCACGGTGGTTATTTTAGACATTTTGTTTGGCATTATGATAACCTGCTTTTGCATACAACTTGATTTCCAACTAAGCCTTGTTTATGAAATTATTGTTGCAAAATAAGTTCACGCTTCTCTGGTTACATGCATATGACTCTTTGAATTTTTAATTAGAAATTTGTTTGTTTGATTAGGACTATTCTATAAGAAATCCCATAATATCCGCACATTTGAATCTCTGCGAATTAAATGTCTTGGGGAATATTGAAGTATGGTGCTCATTATTTCAGGGAATCAGGAGGCCATGGAAAGGCGTTCTCATGTTTGGACCTCCAGGAACTGGGAAGACACTTCTTGCTAAAGCAGTTGCTACTGAATGTGGGACCACTTTCTTTAACGTATCTTCTGCAACTTTGGCTTCTAAATGGCGTGGTGAGAGTGAGCGCATGGTGCGGTGTTTGTTTGATCTTGCAAGAGCATATGCACCAAGCACAATATTTATCGATGAAATTGATTCTCTATGCAATGCAAGGGGGTGAGGCTTTCTTGTTCTTTAAGACATCCATTTTATGTAGTAGACTTTCAAACTTTTTATGGATCCCCAAAATGAAGTTTCATTCAATCCATTGTTTACATTCCTTGAACACATTCGTAGGCTGTGTTGACTTCACTCTTTTTTGGATTGATTATTGAGATCTGATTGAATTCACATTTACTTCGTCAGGGCATCCGGGGAGCATGAATCGTCTAGAAGGGTGAAATCTGAACTTCTTGTTCAGGTTGATGGTGTAAGCAATAGTGCCACAAATGAAGATGGTAGCCGTAAAATAGTAATGGTTTTGGCCGCAACTAACTTCCCATGGGATATAGACGAGGCATTAAGGTTTGCTTTTTTTTTTT